AAAACCAGCCAAATCAGGGAGCTGGACAGGGGACAGATTGTATCTATCTTCATTGTGGAAGGGATTGTCACTCTCAAATTGGCCTTCGGGTCACACAATAATTTCACAGCAGAGCAGTTCACAGAGATTAGACTGAGGGGAAGGTCATAGCTGTTTTACCCAGAATGTTTTGAAGCAACCATGTTTAGCATGTGCACCATGACAGCTCTAATAAAGGGCCGATAATCAATAATACCCTACCTCATAGCAGATCAAGCAGCTGTTGTGTTACTTGTGCCTTCAGATGTTTTAGAGCAAAGAATGAAAGTGTGATTTTTCTGGACCACAACTGCCAGAATCTTTTAGCCCAGTGGTCCCCAACCTTGGGCCTCCAGATGTTCTTGGACTACAACTCCCAGAAGCCTTCACCACCACCTCTGCTGGCCAGTATTTCTGGGAGCTGAAGTCCAAGAACATCTGGAGGCCCAAGGTTGGGGACCACTGGTCTAAAGGGCCAGCCAGTTCAGATTAAGGAGCCATAAAAGGGACACCAGACAACTGCAGCTTTGAACAGCAAACTCAGCAGCAGAGACACATAACATCTAGTCACAGTTCTGGTGGGTAGACACTGATATACTACCCATATACACATCATATACATGTCCATACACCACCCATATAAGGGGCTCAAAGCAATTCACAACACTTAAAAACAAGCATGTAGAACTGGACTGTGCTATTTAAATTATAATCAGACTTAGTTATGCTCAAAATAGATTCAAAGAAATCAGTGAGCTTATTAGCTATGATGGTTACCACTTTCACCCTTTCATCTACAAACCCAGTCGATTACATTTGTATCTGTTCCTAAAGAATAGGCTATACCCAACATTTAAAGCATGCAATGGAAACCACCTGTTCAGCAACCTATGTGTTTTCATATAGTGTCCCTACACAGATATTCTGCTGGAACTCATCACAAGAAAGTTCTGCATTATAAATAGAGGATAAAGGTAAAGGTAAAGGTTCCCCTTGACAATTTTTGTGCAGTCGTGTTCGACTCTAGGGGGGGGGCTCATCCCCGTTTCCAAGCCATAGAGCCAGCGTTTTGTCCGAAGACAATCTTCCGTGGTCACATGGCCAGTGCGACTTAGACACGGAACGCTGTTACCTTCCCACTGAGGTGGTCCCTATTTATCTACTCGCATTTGCATGCTTTTGAACTGCTAGGTTGGCGGGAGCTGAGACAAGCGACGGGAGTTCACTCCGTCGCGTGGATTTGATCTTACGACTGCTGGTCTTCTGACCCTGCAGCACAGGCTTCTGCGGTTTAGCCCGCAGTGCCACCATGTCCCTTAGACAAATAGAGGATAGTCCTCCATAAAGTGGGGCACACATGAACTCCTTCCCTTTTAATACTTTCTGGCTATGATCCACGCAGCAAGACACTAGCTGAAGACTGAAAGTACACTGCGAAGACTTTGCCAAACACCTGTTGTCTACACATCTCCTTCAAAATCTTCATAAAGATCCAGGTCATGCCTAAAGAGTCTGGGAGAGGATCGTCGTCTACAAAACTGAAATGCACACTTGAAAGAGGGGGAGGGAGGGAAAGATGAAAACCAAAATGGGACAAAAGTAATCCCCAGATGGAAGGAAGCAGGATTTAAAAGAAGACAAATATATTGCATACAGTGGTGCCTCGCTAGACAGTTACCCCGCATGACAGTTTTTTCGCTAGACATTGACTTTTAGCAATCGCTATAGCGATTCACAAAACAGTGATTCCTATGGGGGAATTTCACTGGACAGTGTGTGGCCCCTGCTTCGCAAACCAATTTTTGCTAGACAACGATTTTAACAGCTCCCTCCGTGCTCGCAAAACGGGTGTTTTCAGGACCTAAGCTTCGCAAGACAGCGATTTAAACAGCTGATCGGTGGTTTGCAAAGCAGCTTTCTTATGACTGATCTTTGCTAGACAACAACGATTCTTCCCCATTGGAATGTATTAAACAGGTTTCAATGCATTCCAATGGGGAAATGCTTTCTGCTAGACGATGATTTCGCTAAACAGCAATTTCAGTGGAATGGATTATCTCCGTCTAGTGAGGCACCACTGTATTCTTATTTTTTGTTTCAATAACATAATAACCAGGATTCCTGGCTATCCAAACCTGAAATCTAACATCTGCAGAACTTTTTCTGGAAGAGTTCCTCTTGGTAAACTGCATGGCACTTCCTAATATGACAATTTGCAAAAATTATGCTGACGATAACAGAATATAATAGAAAACCCTAATTTTCCAAAGCTATCCAGTGAAATCCAGATACTTAGTTCCCCTGCAGCTCCCCCAGCAAAGACTTGCAGAACAGCAACTTAGCAGATTTTTACACAGATGTAAACAAAATTAACGTGAGTGCATGCAAAGAAGATTTCTCTTACCATTTTGTTTCTGGATACCATCTTATTTAGCTTCTCAGCCATTCGAACCAGTTCCTTCACTTGTCCCATGGTTTATTTATATGTTCCAGAATGCCATCCGCTACAAAACCAAAGTCCAGGGTTGTCGTTTTTTGCTTTATAACAGAGCAAAACATTAACTGGCACCGGTCACTGGAGTTTGCATTTATGACGTATTTGTGTTTTGGGTGGCAAAGGTGGATATTTTCCAAAGCAGAGGAAAGGTGCTTGTGAATTTGTTATTTAAAGAAGCGTTTACAAACTTAGTGAATGTTGACAAGAACGGAAGGGATGGCGTGAGAGAAAAGCAGAAAGAAAAGAGACGTGGCCACCGAGAGACTTATAAACGACCCGCCATGCAGTCAAAATAGCAACAGGGGAGTAGGCTAAATATAGGACCCAAGGATTAAGGGATGGAAAAAATTCAGCTGGGAGGGAGTAGATGGGGGAGTCGTTCCTCACACCACCATTGCTGTTTGAAGTAACATGGACTCCAAGTAAAAACGGACTCTTACTCTAGGTCACCATCGAGATGCAAAAAATATCTAGGTGAGATGGAAAGTGTTAATAGCAATGGCAACAGAAAGAAAATAGTAGGTAATCCATAATTTTAAAAAAATCAAAGTTAATATATTTATTGGGCACTAACATATAGTGTGGTGTGGTGGATAGATGTAGTCTAGAGGGGCAGGGTAAAAATCGAATAAATAAATAAATGAATACAGCAATGGACTAGGACTCTGGAGAACAGGGTTCGAATTCCCATTCGACCATAGAACCTCAGTGGGGGAGTGGAACCGGTAAAACCACTCCTTAAATATCTCACCTTGAAGACTTTTTAATCTGTAAGGTTGCTGTTAGTCAGTTCCAACGGCTTTTTAGTCTGTAAGGTTGCTGTTAGTCAGTTCCAACTTGATGGCACAGAACGCACACAAACTACCGTATTTTCCATGTATAAGACACCTCAATGTATAAAACGCCCCCACTTTTCTAATACAAAATTAAGAAATCTAAGTGGGGCTTAGCAAGTGTAGGGGGAAAGGGATCAAAGTGCTGCAGGATCGCTTTGATCCCTGCTTTCCCCTCCATTTGTTTTTGTTCTTTCCTCAGCTTACTTCTGTGTATAAGTTGACTCTCAATTTTTAGTCTAAAGATTTTAGACAAAAGTATAGTCTTATACACAGAAAAATACGGTACTTGTCATCAGGTAGAACAGGGAACTTGGAGAGAGAGAACAGTAAGAATGATCTTGGCTTACATACCGAAACCAAGGATTCAACCCAAAATAAAGCTATGATCAAACAGTGATTTATGCTCCAGTTTGAGCCTGTTGAGATTTATTTGCTGGCCACTAGACAACCTTGAGCGCATTGCAAACCAGCATGACCATTTCTACCACCATTTGAATCTTTTTGCTCTTACTCCCCGCCGCCCCCCCGGGGCTCTTATTTCCTTGAATTGATGGGGCTTTTAGTTTCTGCCATGTATGATAGCCATTATTGAACCAGAGTGGCAGTGGGTAGGTGTGCCCTAACTTTAACCCTCCCATGACCCTCCCAACTATCTATGCAGCTGGAACAACCTGGGAAAGTGAGATTTAGTAACTAATTAGATCTTCGAGCAGGGAGAGAAAATGCAGGAAAAATAAAAAAGTTTACACTCTCTGAAAGTGCTCTTTTTCCACTCACTTTTTCTCTGATGCAGTTGGAAGTTTTGACTGGGGGTGACAAAGCTGGGAGGGGGTAGATCCCTTCCCCTCCCTGTATGCCATGATCTTTTAAAAATGAAATTTGCTAGATCCCCCCCCCCAACACTCCCTTCTTCTTTCACCTCCCTCTCTGTCCCGACACCTGCCTGCAACAGTCAGCCAAGTGACAGCCAGCTGCAAAAACTGGGGGGGGGCAACTCGCTCCTTGTGAAAAGCCGCCATTTAGGAACTCAAGCCAAGCGGACTTCTCCATTTCCAGCTGCATGATTCCTGCCTCCCTTCCCTCTCCTGAGAGCGAGAGAGTCGGGAATGAGTGGTACTTTCTTTTTTTAACTGCTGTGTCAGACAAGTGCTGGATTTGTGTATTATACCAAGCAAATATATATATAAATTGTGTCACTTACGGAAAAAAATTAAGGACACAGTAATACATTGTAGGGACCTGAGCTTCATGGTTTCTTGTGTGTGTGTGTGTGTGTGTGTGTGTGTGTGTGTGTGTGTGTGTGTGTGTGTGGGTGTGTGTGTGTGTGTGTGTGTGTGTGTGTGTGTGTGTGTG